CAAAATAAAAAAACAAAAAACACACAGCAAAAAACAAAGACCAAAGTAAGTAAGTACTGTATACGGAACCTGGTTGGGATCTGAGATCTGCTTGGACTCGAAAGGGTCACATTTCTTGGTCTGGTAGTAGGAGAAGGCCACGATACCCTCGTACACGGCGATGGACAGAGTGAAGAAAAACGTCGGGGCCACGATCAACAGCACCCTGAAGGACATGAAGGACAGTTGGTCTCTTTTAAGGACAAGCGGCTAACCCAGATTTCGGGGGTTTGCAAAAATCTTGACCAACACTAAAAGTGGGCATTGTCCTACCTATAGGAAAAATTTGGTTTCATTGGTGTGTATACATGGATTTGTTTGGTTATAGAGAAAACTCTCACTGCCTTCTAAAGAAACAGATCAAATGGCAAAAACTTTTCCTTCGATTTTCTCAAAACAGCATTTTTCGGGATAGCCCCGTTGTGCTTAAGAGCGACCAGTTGTGGTTGTCTTGACTTAACACATCTTTTGACACTGTACATGTATTATGGTTATCTAAGAGGCGGGACATCTTCCACTTCAACGTCCATACCTGTCAGGATCAAGCCAAATGGAGGGAGAGCTTTAACCAACAACCCCCCTCCCCCCAAAAAACAACAACAACAACAAACAAACAAAAGTCAAAATAAACAAATCACACTTTTATTTTTTTACAGAAGGGCGAAATGGGTTGAATACGTTTAAAAAAGACTCGAGTTCTAGAACGCCGAGTGTGGGATTCAAACCTTGTGCCATCTTCTCTGTAATCCAACATGATATCAGCTGAACTACATGAGCCCCCCTCCCCTCCCCTCTTCTCCTAGTTTTAGATTTAGTAAAGTTTTACGGCCCTCGCAAAAGCATAAGGTCATGTGAGCGCCAAGGGGTGGATGTCAACAGAGAACTCCAAACAGGGAATCATGTTTACTCTGCTCACATCTCTAGCCTCAACAGCACCAAGTCAAGGTACCCCGGAAATAGCAGTTCACAAGAGAGGGACTAACATACAAAAGAAGTAGAGGTAAAAAGTAAATGAGGAAAGAAAAAGCAGCAGTTCCCCCAATGTTGTTCCAGCACAGTATGAGCATGACATTGATAAGTCAGCCCATTTACAGTTCTACTGTGCATACCAACATGTTAATACCCCCCCCCCCACCCCCCCTTTGGGGATAGCTTAAAGACACTTCAGTCAGTAGCACTGGCTTGGGGGGGGGGT